GAGAGAGAGAGAGAGAGAGAGAGAGAGAGACAGAGACAGAGAGAGACAGAGAGAGAGACTGGCATGTTTGTGACCTCCCCATACCCATGGGTTCATGTATTCATACAAAGTCAACTGCTAAAATTCATATAATCTTTTCCAGTTTTCCTTTATTCTAAATTACTATGTGAACTACATTTATTGGTTATAACTTGCTGCTAAATTGGACAATGACACATTCTCTGCCTGAGTTTTAAGCTAAACATTATCTTTCAAATCTTCACACAGTTTCAGATTTGAGTAGGATTAGGAATGTAATTGAACAGAAGAGCCACCCAGAAGTCAAGAAGTCTAACCTACCAACTGAAGACACTAGAGAAGAAGGCTCACTGTATGTGATGTCTTCATACCTCAATTTCCCACTCTGTCTTCTTTATAAGTCTTATGTTTATTAGCAAAATCAGGAGCACAAAGGGGGTAGGAGAAAATTTAAGGTAGGTGAACGTGACAGAATCTCCAGATCCTCTTTCACTCTGTTTTTTACCTCCTTCTACAGCAGATACCTCTTTGATTTTTAACTAGACACTTTATTGCCCAGAACTTTCTTGTTTCCCAATATGATACAGCCACAGTCTGTGAAGTACTACAGGAAATGGAGTAGATCTCTGTGTGCAGGGGTATAGGTGCTTCTGCTCTTTCCCATGTTGCTAGGGTGCAGAGAGTCTAGGCTACTGGAACCAAAAAAAACCATCCTCAGACCCACCACAAAGAAGAGCCAGGGTCCACATGGTATAAGCATAATGTTGGACTTTCTTTTGAGAAAAATGAAAGTCTAATGTTTAAGCATTATGTTAGATGCAGTCACAAAGTATCCAATGTATATGCTTCTTAACCAAGGAAACTTTAAAACTAATGCTTCAGAGAAGTATTGATAATAAACAGAAGACTTGTCATCTTCCAGCTTCTGATAATGCTTCTCTATTCATTTAATTCTATCTGGTACTATAGAGTATAAAAACAAACAAACAAAAAAGCCTACGTATCAGTTTTGATGCCAAGATCTGAAGCTTTTCAATAGCCTAATGTGTAAGAGAGAAAAAAACCAGCATGGCTGAACATAACAGCCAAATGCAGTGAGCATTAACATGTGCCCGGCACTGCTAAGATCTCACAGAAGCCTATGTAACACGGTAGTTGACAGAGTACTTAACTATATCTACCATCTTACCTGTTGATAATGTTCTGTTCATAAAACTGACCATAAGGCATCCATAAACATATTCAGAATTTCAAACATTTCATATAGAAGAATAACTTTAAAAAATACTCATTTCTAACTCCAGTAAACCAGTGTAAAAAGGAGAAAACTTCCAACTTGACCAGCCTATAGACTTTAATTATGAATAAAAAGGAGATGAGATCATGACAAAAGTGGTAAAGTACTTGCCTAGCATGGACAAGACTCTAGGTTAAGACTCTGCAGCATCACAGGGGTGGGAAGAGGGGGGAGAAAAAAGAAAAAGAAAAAAAGTCAGTGTATTTTGAAAGAAAACATTTTTTTTCCTTCAAAAATCTCTACCAGGCAGTTTGATTTATGGCAACAGATTTTTCTGCCAGTTCTCAATAGGTTTTTGAGTTGAAGATGAATGGGTTTCAGTATTATGGCAGTAGTTTTAGTGAAAACACCTGGCCTGTCCAAACTGAGCCATTTTAATTCCTTCTCTAATCACAAAATCTGCTTGGGACTAATGAGGACTATTGAGGCAAAGAACTGAGACTTTCATTAGTGCAACATAAATTATTATTCCTCTTAAGGTACTTAACAAACTATTCATTCTCCTACTATTCTCCTGCTAGTATTGGCATTTCTCAAATATTTTTGAAACTCTGTGCTCAGGAAATCATTCTCTTATTTCATTCTCTCCCTATTTTTTGACCAAAAATGGTTTCATCAGTTTGACACATGTTACCTGACTTGACTTCAAATGGTTCATGGTGTGTCCTAATAAAAACCTATTTTTAAATGATAAAGGTTCCCAATCACTGAGATTATCTAGAAACAAAAAACACAAACAAAATCAAAACAAAACAAACAGGCAGAAAAAGCATGCCAGAGACATGGAAAATGATTCTAAATGTTCAACCATCTTGTGGGCAAACGTATTATTCTTTTAATTCCCAAGTGACCTCCCAAGATGACTACACTTAAGAGGCCAATTTTTGGCAGGGAAGAAGCCAAGGATTTTCACATATGATAGAGAAATGCAAAGCCATCAGTAGTTGCTTTGGTCATTTTGTATGGCCCCAGGGGCTCCAGAGAGAACTTATAAAATGTTAAGACTACTGTACCTCCTCTTTCCCTCTGCCTTTTCATTTGTCAATAGTGGATTCACATAATAGCCCAAGGAGCTTTAAAATACATACCCATTAACCCCAACACAACTGACTGTGAATCTTAAAGGGAAGAGAGGAGAGACAGAGAGAGAGAGAGAGAGAGAGAGAGAGAGAGAGAGAGATAGTGTGTGTGTGTGTGTACACTGTTTATTCTTTTCCTTTCTTCCTGCCTCTCCATTGCAGCTCCCAGGTGATCTGGATACCATGTAGTACAAAGAAAGGGAGAAGAGGTTGGGCAGCCAAGGTCAAGATAATAACCATACCTCTGTCCACTGAGCTCCTCTCAACTAGTTGGGTGACATATAAACATTCGCTCCCTATATCATGCTACATTGTGATTGATAAAAACAAGAATTTGGTTGGTTGGTCCATACATATAATCTCACCTATACTTATCATATCATCAAATATGAAGTACAAGAAGTATACAGTCTCTAGGTGACTAAACACACAGAAGAAAACACAAAGGAGAGCAAAATGAAACTACATCCAAACCTAGCCAGTCCAAAGTGATTATGTTCTCCTCAAAGCTATCTGTAGACACCAAATTTGTCGTAATGAACATACCTCTATGACACTTTCCCACTGGCCTGTTGGTTTCAAAGATTAAAAACCACCTACCAGTAGTATCTTGGGCAGTCACATCCACACCATGCGTAAGCATGACCCTGAGGCATTCCACGTGTCCTTTAGCAGCAGCCAGATGAAAACTAGAAAGAGAAGGAAAGGCATTTTCTTAGGGTTTTTCTTCGCTCATAGCTCAGCTCCAGAAAAGCCTTCTTCTTCATGTGGACATATTCTCAGCTGAGATCCACAGCCACTTACATAGGCATTGTTATCAAGCTTATATTCCTCACCTAAATAACCGACTACCTACTAAAAGAGCTGGGTCATTTTCTTTATTCCCCTCAGACAGAAAGCTCTGAAAGAGGAATGAATCCTTCCTTCTCTCTCAGTCCCCATGCTTAGAAGAAGCTCTTGATCAAGAGCTCTTGTACAAAAGGGCAAGACAGGAAAATTGCTATGGTTAGCCATGTTAAGGTTTTAGCTTCAGGAAGTCTAGTTCCTATTTCTAATGTCCATGACTTTGGATGAATGAACACTTCCAATATTATGGCTTTATCAAAGCTCAGAGGAAAATAAAAACGTGTAGTCAGATGAGAAAGTATACTAAGATGTGTACGCCCTTTAAGAGCTCACACTATCTGGGTTTTTGCTTCTCTATTGTGATCTATGAGAGTTCTCCGCATCTCCATTTGCAAAATCATAAAATAAACTGTGAGGTACAAATAATTGTGTAAAAGCTCCTTCCAAAATGCAAAATGTGGTAAATCTTTTTAAAAGCCACTAATTACTACAGCCTCAACCACATAAGATGAAGCAATTTGTGACATGGTGCTTAATATCAATTCCTTGTCTCCATGTTCAGAAAGGAGAGGTGAGCAGAAGCTAAGTCAGACCCGCATTGCTTAAAACCTGGAGAGTCAGGAGATGAAGTTATGTGCCTTTGCAGTGAACGGAACTTAGGGACAAAGTTGTAGACAGTGGCAGACTATAAAAACCCATCCAAAACCAGCCCTGTCCACGCCTCACACTTGAGCTGCTTGTATCCTGGCACCTCTCGGGGATGTAATCATCCCCACAGCAGTGTCTGGCAGCAGCAAGCCATTAATATTTAGCCTCTGATTAGGGACCAGAAGCAGTGCCAACTTTTTTAGTAAGATCCTCAAGTGGAATGTTGTGCTTCTGTGCGTGAGACTGGTCAGAGGCAGAACCGGGATTCGTCAAATACAGTGAATAGATTTCCTCTGTGCATCCTCAGAGGTGACAGTGCTGGGGACTGATGGGCAGTGGCCATGCCCTGTCTAGATGTCAGACAACCAGGCATGTCTAGGGCTACAGCAAGCTTAGGGAACAGATGGTGCCCAGGTCACCACCTAATTAAGAGCCTCCTAATAGCCTGCATCCTGGAACAAGGACTAAAAGAGAGTTTGCAGACTGAGCTGAGTGGGAATGGGATGGGAGCAAAGCCGGAAGTTGATTAAAACCTACACACACACACACACACACACACACACACACCATTTTTGCAGCATCTGGAGACATAAAAGATAGTAACTATGTTGGTGGGGGGTTCACCAAGCCCTTGAAAATACACAGGTTGGCTCACCCCAAACAAAGAGTTATCTGTGTGGCCCACAGTTCAGAAACAGTGCGACGAACCATTAAAGGTAATGTATAATGATGAAATATAATTGTCTTCAAACAAGTTAAAGACTGAGAAACAAAATGAGTACATTTTCATCTTTGTATTGATATAATTCAGATGTCACAGAATTCACTCTTTAAAAATGTACTGGTCTTTTTGCATATTCACCAAGTTGTACAACCAACCTCACTGAGGGTCAGATTTTTCACTATGGTAACAAAACACCTGGCAGAAACAACTTAAGGAAGAAAGAATTCTTTTGCTCTTGGTTTCAGAGTTGTAAAGAGAGCTTCAAAGCCAGATGTTGCTGAAGAGTAATAGTAAGTTAGAGACTTCTTAGGACCTTGAATGAATAACTGAAAAGCAGGAGAAAAGCTTAGCATCCCTATTTCCATTTTGCATATGACTTTGCTCAGACTTTTTCCTCTACAGTCCCTCTGTAATCACTCTGGAATCCAGGAAAGACAGGACCGATGGGTAACATCATTATGACAAGGGACTGAAACTACCTCTAAAGAAAAATACAGCCTCCTCATGACAGACCACCCAGCAGATGGCCATGACTGTCATCCTGACAAGTGATCAGTGATAATTTCTCCAGAACCCTTCTTTTTTTTTGGTCAGTCGTGGGACTTGAACTCTGGGCCTGGGCGCTGTCCCTCAGCTCTTCCGCTCAAGGCAAGCACTCTACCACTTGAGCTACAGCGCCACTTCCGGTTTTCTGGTGGTTTATTGGAGATAGGAGTCTCACAGTCTCTCCTGCCCGGGCTGGCTTTGAACCGCGATCCTCAGATCTCAGCCTCCTGAGTAGCTAGGATTACAGGCGTGAGCAATCAGCGCCTGGCTCCAGAACCCTTCTTAAAACAGGGACTGACATACTGACCAATCAGGCCATACTTTGACCAGGACTATTTAATAACTATGTGTATATCTCTCCTCATGCCACCTCTATAAAATCTAAAGTTCACACTTAATTCCTGACTATGGCGGAACATGTACTGAAGTACTATCTTCCTGTGGCTCTTACATAATAAATGTCCTTTCTCTGGCTTTCTGTCTCTTTTTGTCTGATAGGAGTGAGTGGTCAGACTTCACAAAACACCAGCTATTTGGGTCTATTGTGGCAGCAAGGGATGGACCAACCATTCAAACATGAACCCATGGGAACATTTCATATTTAAATACTATCCTATACTTACTAGGTAGAGTTTTCGTGGCTCATACCTGTAATCCTAGCTACTTAGGAGGCTGAGATCTAAGGATCGTGGTTCAAAGCCAGCTTGGGAAGAAAAGTTTGTAAGACTCTTATCTCCAACTAACCACAAAAGAAAGCCAGAAGTGGAGCTGTGGCTCAAGTGGTAGAATGCTAGTCTTGGGCAAAGAGTTCAAAGACAGTGCTTAGGTGAACTGGTAATAAATAAGTAATAAACCCTATATATACTATGTATTTCTTAAAACAGTTGCCCTGTAAAATACATTTAAAAATCCCTTTATTTTTTAAGTCATTCCCCATTCCTCTGTCCTTCAAGTAGTTTGGAAATCACTAATCTACATCCCATGTCTATTACTGTATTCTAGACAGTTCCTAAAGACTAGATTATATAACATGCAATCTACTATGTCTGGCTTCTTCCCTTTAGCATGTTTCAAGGTATGTATGTATTATAGTACATATCCATACTTCATTACGTCCTTAATAAGATTGCATTTTATGAGTCTACCACAACTTGATTAGCCATGCATGCGCATCTGGACTCTTTCCACTTTGGGCTATATTATTACTGCTAAAACAATATACAACATTTGTAGGACACGCTTTCAATGCTAGTAGGTGTGTTTATCTAGGAGCGGAATTGCTGGGTCATATGCTAACTATGTTTTAACTTCCCGAGGAATTGCTTAAGTCTTAAAAGCTGCGGTACCATCTTGTCACTGATGAACAATGTAGAAGGGTTCCAACTTTCCACATTCTAGCCAAGACTCATTAGGGTCTGGCAAATTTTAGATGAGAGTTTTAACTACAACTTAAAATATCCAAAGGCAAAAAAAAATATTTAAGTCTTTTGTAATGAGCCCTTTGAAGTAGTTAGTTCAATTAATTAACAGCTGAAATTTCCCCTAAAAGGAATATAGAAGATTGAATGCAAAGGAAGTTAGGAACATCCTCTGGCCTTGTATCCACATAAGCTTTTATTTCTAATTATAAAGTGTGCCCAATTCTTTCAAAGTCCAAAAATGTCATTCAAAAGCTTATGGGAGATTTTGTGTACTTATCTCTTTATTTAGATTGGTCAGGAATTTAATGGAGATGGGGGGAAGAGGGAGACTGCAAATATTTTTTTTCTACTCCTACAAAGGACAATGGTTACTGCCCAGGGATATGGATGGTAGTTAATTCTGATCTTACTGAAGTACAGCACTTCATTGATCGAGGTGTTGGCTATATAAAGAGAGGTTCATGGGAAAGGAACATGATAGAAATGAAAGCTTTCAGACAGATACCAGAGACTCACACCTATAATCCTAGCCAGAGAAGGCTGGGAGGCTCAAACAAAATAACCAGCAAAAATTTGATGGTGTGGCTCAACTGGTAGAGTGCCAGCTGAGAGGGCAAGCTGAGCAAGGTCAAGGTCTTGAGTTCAAATCCTAGTATGAAGAAAGCATTGTCGTCATTATCATTCTTGTCATCATCATCATCCAAGGCTCTCCATTCCATCCTAAATCTACCAAATCAAAAGCCACAAGCACAAGGATTCCCAGCTGATTTCACAGGCACACAGAAGTGTGAGAGGTGCTGTTCTAAGCGGAGAATGAGTTAAAAACACCACATAATTTTATTTGTCAAGGCACCCATTGTTTCAATGTTCTTTGAAAACATAATCCTCTTAGCCTTAAAAACAAAAGTTCCACAAAAAAGGGATCCCCACTGTGTCACGTTTCCTTGGAAGGGGAGATGTTTTTAGCTTTGCTTGTATGTCTCAGCCAGGGTCCTTCCACAGAGATGTAACTGAAAGGCACAAACAGCCACAAGATTTACACAAAACTACTTTGATCCTTTGATGCTGACTGCTATTTGGAACACTCCTGCGTTTGTCACTTGGAAAGACCTCAAGGCTTCAGTGCTTCAGTTTTTGCCTCTCCCTCACTTCTATTATTTCCCCCACTACAGAGTCAACTCACTGAGGTCACTCCCTCAAACACCAGCTGGGTGGCAGCCTGTGAATCACGTAACGCAGCCCCATTGCTGTGTGTAATGGGGGCTGAGGTAACTTCAGTTCCCTCACTTCAAACCCGTGTTGAAGGCAATAAAATGACAAATGACATAAGTAATAGCAGCTAATTTTCCAAGACACTTTGCTGGAGTCATCTTATCGTCACAGAAGTCTTAAGGAGGGTTAAAAGGTTTCCCATTTTACAGAGGAGGAAACTGAGGTACAGAGAAATTCACACTGATTCAAAGTCTCAGAACAAATAAGCAGCAGATGTTTCCTAGGCTTTCAT